ATTAATTTGCTCTTGGATTAAATATTTCTGTCTTACAACTAAAATACACTTTTGAGACGGTTTTTTTACTATTATCAAGTAATTATTCTCTAGCGTCTATAGGGAGAGGATCGTTTTGTTGGATTTAAAAAATTTGTCTTCATAAAAAGAATTTTGTCTTTTTCTAAGTAATCTGTTTTTACCGTGTAGCTGCAAGAGCTAAACCGGTCACTACCACGGATTTTTGTCGTCCAAGTACGCAGAAGCTGTAATAATACACCTTTAGTATAAAGTTTTTGTTTCGTTATAGTTTTAAACTTCGTAAATTGCCAATTTTGAATATTAATCGGAATCTTATTATAGAAGCGTATACATTGCCCCTCAAATAACTTTGAGACTTTATGAAGACGACTGTCAAGTACAGCTAGTTTATTTTTTCCTCGTATGTCACTATTTTTCATAAAAAAAATATATTTTTCTTAACATAAATAACCTTTTGAAAAATGTACTGTGACGTTAGTGTAAGAATGTTAATCTCTTTAAATTTATCTCTCAAAGACAGTCTGGGCCCCAGATTGTAAATTGTCGTAACCGCGCGTTTCTGCAGGACAAAGATTCTATTAATATCGGTGGCATTAAACTGTGAAAGTAGCTGAGCAAACCAATGTAGCTGTTTCGACGTCTGAAAGTTTTCGTTTTTTTTTATCGCGTACACTGGCAGAGCTGAGACGTTTTGATAATTTATTTATATGTGGACCTCATTGCAATTTAGCATCTTAGAATAATAACGCATAGAAACCTAGTCCGCACACGCTAAGTGAGGCAAATTGAAACGCTCCCAAAGGGCCTACACGAGCGGGCGGGCCGTCAGTACTCAAGCTCAACTTGCACCGCGAACAGCTCAAGAATTTTAGCTAAAACTGACGAAATGTGCGGTAAATGAGTGTAAAAATACGTCAAACAAACATAAAATAGATACTAACATCACATTCCACAAGGAAGTAACGCGTTTCAACTTGTATTTTTATATAAATATTCACTAAAACCGAAAATTAACCTACTACTAAAACTAGCCTACATGAATTTGATTTTTGCCTCACTTGTGACAGTTCGTTTGATATGAAACTATCATTCTATCCGTTATTATTCTAAGTTTAGCATCTAAAGTTATACCTAGAAATACAACTGTATTTGCAAGGTTAAATTTTTCGTTTCTAACTATAATGTTTGTGTCCGTCTGTCTAACATTGGGTAAATTAAAATTTCACACAATTTGTTTTTTTCTCATAAGAAGCAGGTTATTAACTACAAGATAATTACTTTAGATATAGCATTTAATTACATCCATCGAAGCTTATGAAGCGAAGCGAGCGAAGCTTTCTTGGCATCCACCCAAATTGTACATTCTACGTACGGAATCACTCAGCCGTCCTTCAACTGAAAATCATGAAAATTAAATTAGCATAAAAATACAATTCTACAGGTCGCTCAGAGGCTCAAATTTGAATTTCTATTTGCGATCTGACATAATTGAGGTCAAAGACAATGTTTACATTTTGGTACCTGTTGGTGGCTCCTTGTGAATTAGTTCGTCCAGGGAAGTACTGCCACCTTACCTACCTCTGCAGCCAAGCAGTAATGTTAGCATTACTGGTAACGGTGCTGGTGAAATTACAGACACATGGGACCTTTCAAGTTAAGTCTCAGGGTGACGGGTGCAGTGGTACTGCCCCTCAGATCTTTGCGATTTAAAGCCTGAGTGGCACTGGAACTGCTTTGGTCGACTTGTTTGTTCCGTCACTAGATCATACATCGTTCCATGTATTGTTATATAGTTCCACGTATGGCATGGAAGCTTGCACGATATTCGATGGTAGATCATTTGCTTAAAATTGTATTCTACTCCGAGATGGCGGAAGGTAAATGGAAGCATGGTGGTCAACATCTTCGCCACAAGGATGTGCTCAATAGACATCTACATGCTTGCGCTATTGATCCGTCAGGTTAGGAGGGCCCTACTTGGCATAACTCGTCTTGACGGTCTACTATCTATAAAAATGTAGAAAAATTCAAACAAAATCGAATCGAAACCAAAAAACGCCAAATAAGAAGAGACAGACCTAACCTAAGCCTTCCTATACATATAACTTTATTACTCTGTATGTGATCGGGCATTTAGGACAAAATTCGGTAGGGCGAGCCATATTATACAAAATTCGGTAGGGTACACGCTAGGAAATAATCTCAAAGGGTCGCTGTTATCGAAATCGATATGGAAGACTACTCATACATATATCATAAAAAAGTGTAATATTATAAATACGTAAGTAACTCTGTCCTTTACGTTTTCACGCTTAAAACGTTAACATTGATAAATTTTGGTACAGATATAGATGGGACCTAGGAGAAGAACACTTTTTGCCACAAAAATAAGTATTACAGGGGTTGAAATAGGGGATGAAAGTTCGTATGGAGGACCAATAAAACTATGAAAATTAGTAGGGGAAAGTATGAGATATTGGACCGGCAACTAAATTGGACCATCCTCAATACCAAAAAGTATCCTTTAAATTGCTTTATTGCCATAACTCGGCGATATGCGTCAAACTTCATTGTATATTGGCCATGTTGTTTTTGTTGTAATAATGAACGTCTGTGTTCTGTTTTGAAAAACTTATTTTGTTATTTTTAATGTAAACTCCATAGATCCGTCCTAAGAGTGTAGTTAACTTAAAGGTAAGCGTACAGTGTTTGTAATTTACAGCATATAAGTATGATTTATCAATAAACTTACACGAAACGTTTGCCGGCATTTATAGGTTGTTTTTATAATATTTTCATACTGTTGGTTAAAATGGACCAACAGTATGAAGTGAATGGATGTTCTAAAGGTCTTAGACGATTCAGATAGCAACCTTGAATCAGAAGACAAGGATAATGAATGCGCTAAATACAAAAGAAAAGAGCTCCCAAAGTTGATTGGACACAGTGTGTGTGGTTTCATAATTGGAATCAAGAACCATGTACTCAAAATCCTCAAATTTGCGACGATTGTCTTATGTGAAGAGCTTATTCTTTTGAATTAGTAGGTTTATTATATTATGTTCCGTTGTAATTTTGTATTTGTTTTACCTCTGAGCCTATTAAAGTCCAATTTAGACACCCCATGGTTCAAATTACAGAACCAGCCGGCTAAATTTTTACTAAGCTCGGATTTCACATTTTGTTGATTTTTTATATGTCTGTAACAATTTATGTTAACTAATGCTTAATAAATACAAAGTCTAATAATTGTTGTTTGATTTCATACAATAGACGTTTGCAAAAATCTGAAAAATTTCAATTTAAAACGCGTTTGAAAAAATTGGTCCAAATTAACAGACTTTCCCCTATAGTACAATTAAGCAGGCTACGTGAAGTATTTTTTCTACGCAGACAAAAATGCGGACAGATTTAATAGATTACGAATACAATATGATGGTTCCAAATCCATTGGCGGTACCTACAAAGTGTTTTGTACCTATCGAGGATTTTTAATTTCTAATTTAATTAGTTGTTAATCATCCATCCCTTTCAAATGATCAATTTTTCTGTCGTAATCATCTATGCCATCACAACGCTCTTTGTTACACTGTTCCATCTTTCTGTCTCCAAGACACACCTCACATTCTATAGGATTTCGCCCTACTTTCATGCTTCTTCGGTCATAACAAAAAATCACTCTCCTACATTAAACCTAGATCCATCAAGACACGATGAACAGCCAGACCGCTTATTTGAAGAGATTCAACCAAACAAATAAACACTGATTGACATCAAGGTAAATAAAATAAAAGTGCATGCAAGTATAAATGCAATTGGACAACAGTCGGGTCGTTTAAATCGCTTC